AATTATTGATAATTCTTGAGCATAAGATCGCTACAACTGTGTGATCATTGTGGATGTTATGTTGCATTGCAGGTAGATACTCAAATCTCAGTAAGAAGTCCCGTAGACTTTATGTTTTTATTCCCTCGTTTCGGCTTCAATTTCACTTGTCTATCAATCCTACACACAGCCTTCCAAGCTTGTCAGGCGCTGAGTCTCACTAGCTTGTTTTGCGTGGTTAAATTCACATGATTTGCCCCCAGCCAGCCGCCTGTGACGCACTCTCTCGCAGACATGTCGAGAAATTTAGATCATAAACCTTTCATGTTATTTGACTTATAAACAAGTCTATGGAATATTAGTGTCATGCCATGAAATATTCTTATCTTTTAAGGGACGCGATCTTATTGTTCTTGTGACACAGCAGAACCAACTAGATATTTAGTCCATGAAAACTTGTTTTTGAAATATGGTTCAAATCCATTAGTTATTAATGTAAATTGAATTTAATATTTATCTTAAATTAATTCCGATGAGATTCAATGGATTTCGAAAAATTTCGGGTGTTTTTGTCGGCAATGCAAGTTTCTTTGTGCGAGTTTTTGCGACGGCAAGACGACCGGTATTCGAGTGCTTCTATTTGCCACGCGTCGCCGCATTTTTTAAGACAGGATTTTGCTGTGCCTGCGCTTTTGTGCTGAATTTTCTTGCTGTTCTTATAGGATTCAAAAAAATTCTCGTTGAATCCTATTTTTTTTTATTTTTCGGGAGTCTCGCTATGTAGTAGATATGCAAAGCTACTTTCGATAAGTGGCTAAGGATAAAAAAGTAAAAAAAAAAATATTCTGACTACAATGAAATATGCGTTCAAATTTTAAAGCGTTTGTCTGTGAATAGGCGCGTTGACAATGAATCGGGATTCATTGTGCATGCTAAGCATCTTATTCATGTTCATGACATGCAGTGTTAACGGATTGCTAACAGCATCACCGCTGACGTTGACGAGTATTTTCATGTTCATGTGAATTTCTTCAGACACACGAGCAAAGTATTCGTGGCATGAGTGTGTGGATATCTGTTCTTTGAAGCTGTATTGGTTTGAGTGCCTGGTATACGATTTGCTGCCTTGCTGCCGCCGTCTTCCGCCTGGCAGCTCACAGTGCGATCAGGTCAAAGGTTAAACGTTGAGGCTGCTCTTAATTGTGAGCCATCAATGCCGTTTGCGGTAACCGCGTAACGAATGGCTCCTGCTGCTCCTAACGTTGTGATGCACTACGTGTTGTATAGTTCAGTTTTTAACTAGTTCAATTTTGCAAAATGATATTTTTGAAGCTATTGCCTTCCATTGTATTATTCAACGGTTGACATTTGTAGACATTCGGACAACGTCAACATGAGTTCAAAATCGTGTTCCTTTCGTTATCGTTTGTCATGAAAGTCAGTGTGATAGTTGTCGTTATTCATAATAGTAGGCTAGTTCTTATCATCTTTCATTCTAGTGTGTTAGTTGTTATCTTTCATTCTAGTGTGCTAGTTCTTATCATCTTTCATTCTAGTCTGTTAGTTGTTATCATCTTTCATTCTAGTGTGCTAGTTCTTATCATCTTTCATTCTAGTCTGTTAGTTGTTATCATCTTTCATTCTAGTGTGATAGTTGTTATCATATTTCATTCTAGTGTGCTAGTTGTTATCTTCTTATATGTGTGTTCGCTCGTTGTTATCCTGTTTTTTTTTCGTTGCAACTCGAAAACGGCCGTACGGATGTTCGCTCGCTCCCACGCATAGCCGTACGCGATCTGGCGCGCATTCTATCGCTCGTTCTGACTTCTCGAGGTGATCAGCAGGACGCGCGCGTGGATTCTGGAGGTTGGAGCCGATGCCTCATTTGCATAAAATGGTACACCTTTGGCCTAACTTGCGTCAATTGAGAACCTCATTGCAGACGTTGCAAGATCTCCGCAAGCTATTTATTGCAGCTGCAAGATTGCCCGGTTCGTCCCACAAGTTCAAGCTAACTTTTCCTCAAGTTATTGCTATGCTGATGTTACTGATGTAAGTTGAAAATTTTATGCTCTCAGTTCTTGCTGGGAACAATTTCCTTTCTCTGGGACCTCTACCTTCATTCGGGAATTTTTTTTTCTTTCGTTTCTCTCTTACCTGATTCATGCATCATTGTTTTTATTCTGGAGCATTCTCGCTATCATACGGAACCATCAGGTTCGTATTTAAAATTATACTTTATATATTCTATTCGAACTTGATTATAAATCATGAAATTTTTACTGAGGCTTACTTCCTGAAGTTGTTTTTGAATTATTATAATTTTTTCTAACTATTCAGCCTAAAACTCCATAATCTTAGCTCTTTTCATTGTTGTCTTACAATTGAAAAATTATTAGGCTTGTTTTGATTATTCATATAAATAATGAGCTAATTTAGTATAGTATTGTATAGTATCTTCGGCATTGAAAAATAGGCCTGTCGCCGAATCTTGTATTTTTCTTAACTAGACTGGCCTTTTGATCAAATATTTTCAACCGACGGTAGGTTTAAAATCGTTTCAAGATTTCAGTTGTTCCGTAGGACACTGGGCATTTCAAGACTATACAATTTACGCGGCATCCTGTAAAAATTGGTCAAGTTTTCGTGATAAATGCGAATATATCGTAACTCAGACTTTCCCTACCGTTCACCGGTCATCAAGTGTACCATATCTCTTCATCTCAGCCATCATGGCTACTGCAAATGTATGCTTCCTACGTCGGCGAATGGTCCAGAATGCCCGAATGCGGGTCCAGTTTACTGGCATAGCTTCGTGATGAGGTCGCCAGACATTCGCCTTTATCGCCCATCAGTGTGACTCCATCTCAATCATCGCTATTGGTAACAATGATATGCTGCCTCGAAGCCACTTCCATTCCTGCACACACGCGTTTGCTTATTCACATAAATTCTGAAGCCATGCATTGGTAAACAGCAAAGTTTGAGATCGAGCTCGGAATCCTTTACTTATTTAAAATTTCTGTGAGTAGTGGGATGGACTATGGAAGTAAATTCACTTTTTGTTGATGTCTCGAATGCAAGAGTCTCCGTCTTCGATCATAGAAGAAATTGATAGTGCCCGATGCAGTGCTCTATTGAACATGCCGGATTTTTTGACGTAATTTTTATTAGTCTAAGGGTCTAGAATTTAGAATTTTTTTACGTTTTATAAAAGTTTTGGTCTATTAATCGATATTCTAATATGAAAGCAATTGAAGCACCTTGAGGTGGCTCAAGTTTATTCATGTTGCTTTTTTTTGACATCCGTCATAATGAATTGAAAATAACGAAGAGTGTTAATAATAAAAGGGTAATATTTAATGGAATATGTTAAGGGTGAAACAAACTATTTCGATGAATGACCCTACCGGTTTCATTTTAACTTTGATTTTTAAAGTTCAAGCTTTTGGATTGCTCTAAAGGTACAAAAAAGATAGTTTCACCACGTTCACATTCGCGACTTTGCTCCTGCCATGTACGTTATGCCAAAATTTTTGCCAGGATCCTGGTATATAGAGGAGGTATACGAACGTGTTAACGGTACTCGTATACTTCCCAACCGTGCTCATATACCTCCAGCCGTACTCATATACCTCCTGCCGTGCTCGTATACCTCCAGCCGTACTCATATACCTCCAGCCATACTCGTATACTTCCCAACCGTGCTCGTATACCTCCAGCCGTACTCATATACCTCCTGCCGTACTCGTATACTTCCCACCCGTGCTCTTCTATCTCCCAGACGTACTCGTATACCTCCAGCCGTACTCGTATACCTCCTGCCGTACTCGTATACCTCCTGCCGTACTCGTATACCTCCCAACCGTACTCGTATATTTCCCAACCATGCTCGTATATCTCCCAGCCGTACTCGTATACCTCCCAACCGTACTCGTATATTTCCCAACCATGCTCGTATATCTCCCAACCATGCTCGTATATCTCCCAGCCGTACTCGTATACCTCCTAGCCGTACTTGCGTCCCTCACAGCACTTCACTAAAACCACTTCCCGACACGAGCCAGGCTCGTCGTTCGCTTGGCTCGCGAAACAAAATTCAGACCATATTATTACAAGCTCGAGTGCGATCTTGCATAAAGCTGGCCAGCCATATTTTCGCCTCCTTTAATGAGTTTGTCTTCAGAGAAACGGAGTGTAATTTTAATGAGGCTCCATACAAATTCCAAATTATCCTATTTTAATGAGGCTGACAGAGTTTCCACTGTTCTTGAGCCAACAACGTTGTTCCATTATGGCTAATCCTTTTTAAGGTAAATTTGATTCGTGTTCTGATTATTTTTAAAATTAACGCAATGGCCATATGCACACGATAAGCGTTCTCGCTGTAATATTAGAAAAAACAGGTATTCCTACTACTGAATTCCAAGATTTATCTTTTAATTTGAAAGGATTATGCCGTCTGCTCACTTACTCATTTCTGTTTTACTCATTTCTGTTCTAATTTATTCTAACTCTTAAGTTTCAATAAAATTATTTAACAGATACACAAGGTTTCTGCTGCCCCTTTGCTTTCCTTTAACAGATGAAAATAATTCTCGTTTGACATCCCGTGAACTGATTAATTACGAAGCAGAATTGTGTCCTTTCACACAACTTAAATAAATAGTTCGCAGTTACATCTAATATTAATTGTTTATGTTCAGTATACTTTAAATGGTACAAATTGGTCAGCTGTGGGAAAGTCTGGAAACTTTTCAAGGTGGGGCTTTGAAAGGGGGTTTGCCTATATGAAAGTATCGAACTCAACCTTAAGCTTTAGAATGAAAACCCTTGAACTCCTCGTCGATCATGTAAAGCATGTTGTCTCCGTTTTCAACCTATGAAAGTATCAAACTCAACCTTAAGCTTTAGAATAAGAACTTTGCATAAAAATTAATTAGAATTGTTGAATGTATTCCTATTTTAAATGATACGATTTATGTTTGTCTTTTCCTTCAGATTTTTCTGCTGATACTTTTTTGAAGTTCCGAAAAATGCAAGTAATTGTTTGACCCGCTCACAGGCCACGTCATGGGAAGTTAAATTACAGCCAGTGTTAATATCTAAAATTTGTGTTACGATTTATTTACTGTGATATACTTTGTATTGAAAAATGAAAATAGGAAGAACTGGTTCGAAATTAGTCCGTGTTTTCTTTGAAACTTAAGAGCCGACTGATAGTAAAAATCAATACTTCTACTCCTATATTCAGCTTCTCAGTGTTTATTCTTCGATTTTAGGATTAGAGCAGAAGACATTAAAACTGTATTTATGATGCAGTAATTTTAAGCTTAGATGAATATGGATATGAAATGAATATGGACTTGCATGTATGTTGTCTGTCAATGCTTCGCATCGACATGGAAAATTTGGCTCAACGCTGGCGTGAAAGAAAGGCGCCAACAGATGCCCATATTCAAATGTCATCAATCATTGAATATCTCATGTGGGGTTTAATTTTTATTAGCAAAAGTTAAAATTCAAATGTGTAATTCTTTTCAATTCAGCTTCTAAAGGTAATGCGGTATCTATAAAATTTGTGAAAACAATCGCTAAACGAAAGTGCTTTCTTCCAAAATAATGGCCAATTTGAACATAAAGCCTCCTGATAAGCACAGAAATTGTTGCTAAAGTATATTGACTGAATTGTTCAGCTTTTTATGGTGACAAAAAATTTAAAACGCTTCAATTGAAAACCTGGTCCAAATGCAGAATTTCACCCAACGGCCCATTACCATCATCATTTATAGACATAGTTTCAACACATTTCCAAACTGTTTTGTGTAGCACAGTGGTACCTATTAACCAGTGATGTTTCCCATCACAATAATATTCCAATATGGGACTACCTTGTGTAAACAATCTGTATTACGTTGAAAATCCGTGATGACATTCAGCGGTGTACGGAACACGTCCTGGACGTCATGATGACTGCTGACGTGACCTAGTGTTCTGTGCATGACCACGTGACGTCTAGTGCGTGTGTCCGGTAGCGTGATTCATGTCGTCGACGTCATCACAAGGAGCAGCTTCGGCAAGCCCGAGACGCACTTTGTCTCGCACCAACCGTCGTGGATCTCGTCGGTCTTCCACGGTAGCAAGGCTGCACGCCGCGGCCATCGCCGCTAGGAACAGACGAGCTTCTCTTGCTGCTCAAGCCGCGCTCGAAGAAAAAGCTTTCCTCGAAGAGTCCAAATCATCCTCATCTTTGGTATCTTCTAAATCTTCAAACTCTGTTTCTTCGAAATCGCATTCTAACTCAGGAAAAATTAAAGTCGACGAGATAGACGCGAGTGAGAGTCCCGAAACGACTAGAAGCTTCGGCGGAGTGTCCAATGGATCCACTAAAACTCAGAAAAGTTTTTTATCTGTAGAACCGTCTCCTTTTATTCACAGACGATCATTTGATAGCGCCACTACGAGTCGTGCTTCTTCTGATTTGTTATCAGTAACAAATTCCCGCGAAAATTCAAAAGCTTTAGCTGTTTCTGACACTTGCATTGACTCCAAGAAAATTCCCTCCAACAGACACACGTCATTGGATCAGCGTCTTACCATCGACCAACCATATTACCTAAGTCCTAGACGTTCATTCGATTCCTCGGCTCCTAGACGAAGAGCTTCCAGCAGTCCGAGGCCATCTCTGACTCCTTCAGCTATTGGCTATCGGAGACCTTCGGCTTGTGTGCAACCAGAAGATGACTCTACCGAAGAGGAGATTGCCGAAACCTCTTTTGTTTCTCGTGCACCAGTGATACACAGACCATCGTTAGTCGACTATCCCACGTCTCCCAGAGCTTCATTTAGCAACCTTCCTCCAGTTCACCGGAGAATTTCAGTTTCCAAAGACCCGACATTACAATCGATCTCTTTCGAAGAAGAGAATTTGCTCGGCAGGAAAAAATCGTTAGCTGATTATCCTCGGAAGCGGGAGACATTGACCGCCACAGTATCGGGCCCGCCCGAGTATCGGCGGAAACTGTCCTCCGCCAGATCGGAGTATGTGCCGCTGTCGCGGAAATCCTCTTACGTCCCAGATTTGTCCACCTGGAAATCATCTGTTGATTCTCCGCTGTTGGAGGCTGTTGAAAGGGAGCACAGACGGAGGAATGATTCTTCCACTTCGTATCACAGTCACTTGGATATTTACCGAAGACATTCATCGAGCGCTTCTCGAATATCTGCTCCCGAGACAGGAAACAGAGGTAAGATGAATTTTATTGGTTACCTTTATATCGATTTTCGTTAGTAAGTAACTCGAAGTCTGTCAGAAACTTTTGATGGCCTGCCGCTCCAGAGTCAGGCGTTAACGGGCTTAAAAAATTGAAATTTCTACGAGAAAATTATTGTCCTATACGCCAGTGAATTCTTTCGTTTGACCTCAACGCGACGATATTTGAATTCAAATTTTGGCGTTAATCGATATGAAAACATAATGTTCTAAAATTAAAACCATTTTTAGGCGATATACTGAATTTCGGTCGATAATAATTTTGTTATGTTATTTGGATCGTTTTCCAAACCTAGCCTTTGTAACTAACGCTTCGATGGTAGTCACCTAGTTGAAACTTTCACGGACGCGAGTAAATTCAATGCAAATGAATGCTTAAATTCTCTAGATTCTTGAGTGTTTTTGTAATTCCATCCAGCCCAAGACTGAATTGCTCGATTATTATCTTCATATTAGTGTTATATTTCTTAATAATATTTTTAGAGCTGTGAAAAGCAAACGTAGTTCCGGTACGTGAACTTTCTTTCAGCTACCTTCTGCCATTTTATCCTTCCTTTGTTCCCCAATTTATTTGCAGTAAATAATTTACATTTTGTTAACCGAGGCCATTATTAATATTAGTATATTAGCCTTCAGTTAATCTATTGGTTTTGTAATTTTACTTGCGCGTCTTTTATTTGAAAAATATAACTCAGTACTCACTGCAGTGAGAGACAGAGAGCGCATTTTCTCGTCGACGAAAACTTGAGGTCACGGACAGACGGACGGACAGACAGACAGACGGACAGATGGACGGACGGACGGACGGACATGGCGAGCACAATAGTGCATTTTTTCCATAAATGAAAAATGCGCTAAATAGAATTTACTTTTTACAATCGCTTTTGATTCTTATCACTTATTTAACTCTTGTTCTCAAGTCTCTTATCTCGCTTGATGAAAGGCCATCATAACCTTACTTCAAATGAGCCTTGGCACAGCAGTTCGCCGCCTCCCCTAGAAATAAGGTAAACCTATCGATATTTACACCCAAGCCAGCTGTAAAAAATCTTCTCTTTCAGCCTCGAGCAATCAACTGGAGCGCCTTTCTTCGTCGATTTTCTTCGTTATCTTGCTGCCCTGAGGAGCTTTTGTGGAACTTCCACAATTTCCATAAAGTTTGTTGTGTTGATATTGTGGCTCCAAGCATGAGATCGAGATTTGCTTCAAGCTTGGAAATGCAATAGAAATTTCCTAGCATATACGAGTATATAGATTTAAGTTTATCATCTACTGCGATTTATTATGGAATTAATTTTTTGCGACCGAACCCGTTTATTACAGTATTGATGAAACGCAATTTCAATATTCTATAATTAATTACAGGTGGGATATTAGGGATGAGGAAACCTTTTTTTCTTATTATTTTTACACATTACGTACGTTAGTATTGAATTAGGAACGAAACAAAAGCTAGCAAATACTAAATTACAAATAACATCTGCCATAATGCTCACTCTATTTGATAGATTTTCAACAAAAAATTATAACATTGAAAAGATTCCAACGCATAAAATTTTTACATTCCTTAATAATTTTCTTTCACCGCTTGTAAATAAGTGTTAAACATGAAAGTTTAATTGAGTTGCTCACTTGTAGTTTTGGAAGGAAGTTTATGTGTAAAAAAATAGTCATACTTTTATCGCTCCTTTATCTTGCATTGCTAAGCGGCAATTAGAGAGACGCGAACTTAATTAATATAGCGTCGCTGCGACGAGACCAAGTATCAACGCATACCGTAAGCGGACGTTTAACATTTCTGTGCCGAAAGTATTGAAGATCTGTTAGAATATATAGCTTTAATGAATATTGCTTAGAAATTTGTTATTCATTATTGATTTAATATTAAATACAGTAAATGATGCAAATGTGTAATAATAAATAGATTAGATCAATATGATAAATAAATAACTTATTCGTCATTTTATTAAGTATTAAATTTGGCAATTGATGGAAATCTTCAGAAAAATATAGATTTCATAAAATTGTATAAAACTATTTCATTTATTGTTCGATTAAACATTAAAATATAATCATTAAATTAAAATATTGAGGCAAATTATAAAAATATCGCTCTATCAATAAGTCGGTAATTTCATGCGTTGATAAAATACAAGTGCCTCGCCTATTGCAGGCTTGATCTTTTAAACCAACGGATTCTTTTCAATATGATGGAAAAAAATTTTCAGGCTCAAATTGTACACGCTAGTTCTAAATTTTCGTGAAACTTTAGCTCGATTTTCGGCCATCAGCTTCTTATGCTTATTCTTTCTTTATTTTGAAGTTCTAGCTATATAACCTGCGGTTTTATTGTGCAGTTTCAAAACAATAATGCTAATTTACCTCCATTGCACGAGAATGTAGCGGGTGCTTATGAATAAATATGTGCTTCTACTGAGGACATTATTCGCGGCCACTATTGCGATTGCGGGTCCAGCCTTAACCTTATTATTGTGCGTTCGACTTAAGGACTTGCATTAATGACCGTGAAATTGCTTAGTGGGAGGTTGTCTGGGAATATAATTTGAACTCATTTATGTGTAAATCGGCTAGTAAACCATTACTGAAAAATGTATAGTGGTCCCATAGATATACCGGGATAATCTAATCATTCGTTTATACGAAATCAACGAAATTATTTGAATTGTAAATGCTAGGTTTATTTTGCGTAACTGCTTTACGTTGCTTCTAAAATTGTGTGTAATTTGTACAAACTTGAACTTGGCAATTATTTTACTTTTTAAATAGCCTTGATAGGTTAATATTAAGTCGTCGTTGCAGCATATGTTACGTCCCTCTTGTTCACTCAAGGCTAATCCAGGTGCTGATGAGCCTGAAGACCGCCATTTACGGGTCCAAATCTCTGCTTGAGACGTCATAAGCGTCACGAATTATGATTAATGCGTTGCTGCGGTACCGGATATCGCGTTATGCTCTACCTAAACTGTCTTATTACTGCATCTAAAACTGCCAAGTGAAATTATCTCATCTTATCTTGTTTTTCTTCAAGGGCTTGAAGCTTATAGAGACCAAAAATATGACGCGATTTTGTATAATTTCTCTTTCAGAGACATCAGATAACTCCTTCAGAAAACATTTAACTCGTTTCAAAGAATCAGCTTACTTGCCCACTTACCTTATGGCAAAAATTCACTGCTAACTTCTGCTAATTTTCACATTTTTTGTTCAAAAAAATTCTAGGGGTGAAGTGCGCAGATTGTTTGGTAAAAGTTTAGTGGAGCTTTGATCTGCCTTTTTTGTGCGTGGCTCATAAGCTAATTGCAGCGAGACTCTTTCAGCGGGAATTTTAAAAAGCTTGCTACAAAGTCGTCATTGTAGCGCATTCGTTTGCCTTTATTTTTGTGAAGAGCGCAGTTGTGACGCTTCGTTGTTTTTAAAGTCTTGTCAGAACCTGGGCTTTTTCCAGCATAGTTGGTTGGCACAGCTCTGTGCCGGCACATTTGTTGATTTTCATATGCAACAATGAGCGATTGTATGTTTCGTTTAAATAACATGGGCGGTGGGAAGTTTATTGGACTGATAATAATTTTAATACCAAAGAACCCTTCCCATCAACTCAATTAGAAATATATAATATTTTATCTATCAGGATGGAATTTTTACCGATACATTTTTGGTTTACATTTAATAACTGAGTGGTGAGGCCTTCTGACGAACCGCACTACCAATTTGCTCGTCAAATTCGTGTTTGCCGAATGAATGATATGCATAAGATATCTACATGATAAAAAAATTAATTATTTTGCGAATGATCTAAAGAATATAAGGCGCGTGAACGGGAAGTGCTGCGTGGACGACGGATTAGTGCGTGCGTGCACTGAACAGGGACAGTGCGTTCGTCAGTGAAACTCTCATATTCATAATTGTGAACGTTAGGTGTAAGCAATGCGGTTTGAAAGTAATATATCTTTATGATTTCTTTCAGTGTTAATCTCTTACCACTTCAACACGGTGTTGATTTGATTAGATTAGCCCAGAGATAGGCGAATTTTATTCCAATCGTATTTTAAAATCTTGTTATTTAAATAACAAAATCTCAACGCAATGTTAAGAGGAAGCCCTCTGATCGAGCACCTCGTTCGCAGCCCCCACAAGGCCTGTCTTTAATGTTCCTTAATTTCTTGCTTTTACGACGCGCGTCTCTTGGCACTTGCATCTTGCTTTGATGCCATAGTCGACACTTTTCCCACCGTTCGAAAGTCATCTATGAAAGTGACAAAAAGTTAGAGGCGACTTCAGGAAAACTTGTAATTTCATTAAGGAAAGTTCCGTTGAAAAGTAGCCGGAAACATTTAGCGTTTTCTTTAGAGCCGCGTTGAAGAATGCCGTGAGGCCTCATCGAGGCTGTGCGAGGAATGATTGGAGCCTGGCTAACGAACGCTTGTTTGCCTTCCCTGATTACTTTCCCATCGAAGTTTATGATCGCGAGTTAGCTCATGCCGCCACATTTACCCTTACCACCTTATGTTCGCCACTGAAGGGAGCCTCTGAAGATTTTTTATTCGCTATTTTTTCTTCGAGAACTGTTCAGCAGTTCTCTGAGCTTTCATTGGCTCTTTTCTAATGCTTTATAAAACCATTTTGAATGCTCATCGCTCGCGGTAACATCTTTTCATTCGAGCAAATTTAGCTACCTTTTTCGATCACCATATTTGAGGTTGCAATCAAACGATTCCTTCTCTTCATATTAGACACAAGCGGTATTCGATTTTTTTAGACTCTGCATCAAATAATACTGTAAATGTCTCTTTAATCGCGGTGCGTTGATGTTACTTAAGATTAACGCCTTCGTATGTTTTTCATATTGTAATTTTTTCCCAATTGCCTGTTTAGCACATTTTCTAATTTATGGAAAAATGCCCTATTGTGCTCGTCATGTCCGTCTGTCTGTCCGTGACTTCACGTTTTCGTCGA